TGCCGCCAATGATGATCGCGTGATTGTTGCGGGTGATAGTGATATTACCAGTTATGTCGATGATGTAGATGACAGTGCTGATGCCCGATGAGGTGTTCTCCCGAATTACATAAAAAAGAAAATCGTAGCCAAAGTCTTAATTCTACGTTTAATTTTAATCTTTTGGTCCCGGAGAATTGTTAAGCTTTCCGGTGACCACTTAGATTCACCAGCGGCGTACGAGAGCTAGCTTTTTTTGTGACACGAAAGAGCGGGTGCCCGTGCAAACGCTCTGCAACGTCACAATATATTGTTGCGTTCGCGGCCGCGCTAAAACTACGTAGCGAAACACGCACTCGCCCCGCGGAAATGAGAGAACGCGGCTTCTTAATAAACACTGTATTACGGCTCAAGATACAGCAATTATCACAAAGAATCCAACCGGATTTATGAATGCGTCGGGACAGCTTCGCGTCTCTGTTACTTCTCTTTCTTTTAACAACCGTCGTCGTCCAGCGACGAACAATTGCGCCGAGCGCGCGCCGAGCGCGCGCCGTTCACGCGGCTCCCGCGACACATACGCGGTGACCTCCGCGTAACAATATATATACACATATATACGTCGAAATAATTTTTTTCTTTCTATATAAGATGCTGGATTTGTATTACGTATGTATAAAGGACCCCGTATACCCCCCTAACTAATTTTAAAATATTGCAAAAAAACTCCTCAGCCAGGAGTCAAACCTGAAATCTCCGGTTTTCCGGGCAATCGGCTTCCCTGTTAAACCACCGAGGCACTTAGAATTTGACTCGCAATACTTAGCACATCTATCGAATATTAATCTGATAATAACGCCATCTTCCACCAGCGTAACTTTTAAATTAATAATAAACAAGAAGAAAAGTTATACATTAGCTGTCCGTCTTTGATGTTTGCGAAACTATCTTTATGTATTTTTAGTCGGTGAAAACGAGTGTAAAAGACGTTTTTGTTGGTCGGACATATTCAAGCCGCCAACTTAAACCAACATATAAAAAAAGCATTTTTCCTGATTATCTAAGGAGGTGTAGACAGAAGGACAATGCCCTCTTGTATACACACTTATAACAAGAACGAATAAAAAACGAAGTATGTTCGTGTTATAAGTGTGTCGCCAGAAGAGAATAGTATCAATAAAGCGGCTGCGATAATCCAAAAACAAACTTTTATTTCACGTAGCTCACTCTTATACACACACTTCTTCTGTATCTGTATCGCTTTTTCTCCTTATATTCACGCACGCTTCCGCGCATGCGCCGCTAGCGCCTCCAACGTACAAAGAAACCTAAAGCGACGCACGGGTCATTTCAGAAACTAAAAATACTTAACTTATACTTAACATACCGCCGCCCTTGAAAGCATCGGCTTTCAACGAAAATAACTTACACGGCGCTCCTTTACTTTGATTGACGTCGNATACATTAATTATACAGAGGAATCTACAGTGCTGCATTTTCNTGACTTAAACATTACGCCATTGCTCACCNTTTTGTATCAATCGGTANCACGCAAAGTCTTGTAACAGACCGTTTGTAAACGCCCGACGCTGTACGCACTGATACAACACGAACAATACCATCATGACCAGGATGCAACTGTTCCACGCGCGCCAGACTCCAGCATAAGGATGGTAAATTATCTTCCTATAGCACCACCAACTGACCCAGCTTGACAGGCTCACCAGACGTTCTCCACCTTGACCGAACTTCACAATTGTGTAAATACTTATTAATCTAGCGTCGCCAAAAATGTTGTTTCAATTGCTCAACCCGTTGACAACCTATTTGATGGCAGGAGTTCCAGGCTTGGTTTTGGATAGGTTGTGAGTAAACAACCTACCAAAAAAGTCCTGGTGTGATGACACCCAAATCATTAGGATTACTGGACAAAGGGACAAGTGGCCTTGAATTCAATATGGCTTCCACTTGAACCATAAGTGTGAACAATTCGTCGTACTTCAATGACGCTTCCTCTGCTACGCTGCAAATGAAATTTGGCGCTCTTCACTGCTGCTTCCCAAAGACCACCCATTTTTAGAGACTTAGGCGGATTAAAAAACCACTTTATTTTTTTACTGGTCATGAAATCAGCTACCCTTTGCCTGACAACTTTGTTACAAAATAGTTCATGCAATTCACTAAGCTGGCGACTTGCTCCGACAAAAGTTAAACTGTTATCTGAATACATTTCAACTGGGCGACCCTTTCTTGAAACAAAAAACGCTTAAATACACTTAAATATGTCTCCGCTGTCATATCCGCTGCTAGTTCTATGTGTACCGCCTTTGTAGCAAAACAAACAAACAGCACCACATAACACTTTACAGATTTAGAGTTCTTCCGCTGGCCTTCTTTGTGCCAGAACGGACCTGCATAATCGACGCCACATTTCTCAAATGCATACTTTGTGACATTTACCCGCGCCTCCGGCAAGTCTGCCATCAATGCCGTTTGTAACTTGGGTGCATTGCGAACACACACCACACACTTACTTATGAGGTGACGCACAACATTTTGCGCCGACGTTGGCCAATAATTTTGAAGCACAGCTGTCAACATAGCTTGCGCCCCGGCATGGAAATGACGCTCATGTTCATGTAGAATAAGTAATCGGGTAAAAATGTGCTTGCCTGGTAGCAAACTCGGATGTTTATATTCGTAAGATACGTTGGCATATTTCAATCGACCACCCACTCTTAAAACGCCATGCAAATTCAAGAACGGTGCTAACTTTAAATAGGAACTGCGCTTACTCACACAACATTTTCTCAAGCGAGTTGATTTCATCGCGAAAGCTTTCGCCCTGTACTACTTTCACTAAAACTAGTATAGCTTGTTCAAACTCCTCAACAGACAATGACTGAGCTGCAGAGTGCACGTTGGTGTTCGAGGACGCCTCATGGACTTTACGCTTCCTACAATTTATCACGAACCTAATACAATAGGCAATTGAGCGCACTAAACGAGAAAACTTCGAGAAGCGGTTAAAACCGTTAATTTGCAGCTCATCCTTTGTTGTTGGTGCCAATGTGGTGGCCCTTTTTTCTGGCAACTCCAATTCGGACCCTTCAAAACTTTCCTGAGGCCAGCTATCTTCACTCATATTTAGCCACGACAGTCCTGACCACCAGACGCTTAGCGTAGGTAGCAAATCAGGCATAATCCCTCTAGATAACGCATCCGCAGGGTTATCCTAGTAGAGTAGGTACATGTTGCCAACTCCCAACATCAGTAATTTGCTAGATTTCAGCTACATGATTTACAACAAACTATGTCCACCGACGACTACACGATCGCAACCAACATAGTACTATGCGAGAATTAGTCCACAATGACACAGAATCGATCTCAAAATGTAGACTACTAGACAACTTCTTTGTAAGCTGAGCTAACGCACCACAAAGTTCTAGGCGGTGTATGGACAAAGTCTTCAGAGGTGCTACCCGTGACTTAGAACATACTAAACGCACTGTTGTTCGTCCATCAACCGAAACCGACCTTGTGTAGACACACGCCCCGTAAGCCTGTTGGCTTGCATCAGAAAAACCATGTATTTCCAGTCTTCGTGTTTGGTTGTGCGGAATAATCATACGCTCTATTTCAAGTGTAGCGAGTACTTGTAACTTAAGCTCATAATTTCTCTAGCGGGTATGCAAGTCGCTAGGCAGGAACTCGTCCCAATCGCCTTTCATACGCCATAATTCCTGCATCAAAACCTTAGCAACCACGACAGCAGGACCTAACAAACCCAGAGGATCAAACACTAACGCAATTCTAGACAACACGCCGCGCTTAGTGGGTTTTTCTAACGGGGGGAGATGCCCTACAGTCACGAATTTGAAGACATCGAATTCGCAATTCCACACCATACCGAGAGTTTTAGTCTCATTACTACTAATGTCTAAACTAAGCTTCCCTTTGTTAAGGTCACCACCATCGTCTAGCGACAGAGCATTAGACGACCACTTTCTCAATTCAAACTCAGCCTTGCCGAGCAGCTTAATTGCTTGTTCTTTAACCTCGACAGCTTCCGACAATGTTGACGCTCCCGTGAGCAGATCGTCAACATAAAAATCGCGTAACACTACCTTAGAACCAAGTGGTAACGAACCAGACTCGCTTTCTGCAAGTTCTCTTACAGCTCTGATAACTAAAAACAAAGCCGGGGCTGTGACATACATAAATGTAAGAAGTTCAAACGTCCTTAGTTTATCCTGAGACGAATCGCGCCAAAATATTCGCTGAAGCAACGAAAAGGCTCAGTTGTTGGGTGACTCGAAGTAGCATGCAAGGCGTCGTTTTTTTAGTCTGGAAAGTCGCTCAGTTGAAATGTATTCAGATAACGGTTTAACTTTTGTCGGAGCAAGTCGCCAGCTTAGTGAATTGCATGAACTATTTTGTAACAAAGTTGTCAGGCAAAGGGTAGCTGATTTCATGACCAGTAAAAAAATAAAGTGGTTTTTTAATCCGCCTAAGTCTCCACATATGGGTGGTCTTTGGGAAGCAGCAGTGAAAAGCGCCAAATTTCATTTGAAGCGTAGCAGGGGAAGCGTCATTGAAGTACGACGAATTGTTCACACTTATGGTTCAAGTGGAAGCCATATTGAATTCAAGGCCACTTGTCCCTTTGTCCAGTGATCCTAATGATTTGGGTGTCATCACACCAGGACTTTTTTGGTAGGTTGTTTACTCACAACCTATTCAAAACCAAGTCTGGAACTCCTGCCATCAAATAGGTTGTCAACGGATTGAGCAATTGAAACAACATTTTTGGCGACGCTGGATTAATGAGTACTTACACAATTGTGAAGTTCGGTTGTGACCGGAGGTTAGGTGATATTTGGTCGAGTACTCACAGTTTTCCTGCCTTCTATCACGGTCGCCAGTCACTTTCACCTCCAAGTGACAAGGTTATCACCCTCAAACTTAATGACTTTCTTTTTGTTTCAGGTGTTCCAGTTCCGCTTTCTCTTAGGATCATGGCGTTGGACGGATCGGGATGTTCGCAAGGTAAGTGAAACACAGCACAGTTTTCTTTGTACAGATATATAAATAACGTTAGCTTTCTTTATTTCAGGTTTTCACCTACTTACACAATTACGTAAGTACCGCACTACTTTAATAATGCTCTCTTCGAATGGTCTATCACAAAACTTTTTATTAATATCGCTTGTCACGCAGATACACATCTACTCGCTAGCGCAGCTGTGATAAGACTCTTGTCATGGCGTCGCCTTCTTCTCCGTGCCGACGCAGCGGCGAGCGGCGCGCATGCGCAGTAAACGCAGCAACTTCTTAAACGTCGAGAATAAGGACTTTCATGTGTGTGTGTGTATTGTTTGTGTCCACTGTATGTGTGTAGGGTAGCTTTCACTCCTTATCCGGCTGTTTTAACTTATACATGTGAAAAAATTTTTTGTTGACTAGTGGCCGAAAATTTGTGTGGTGAATGTGTGTGTCCAGCGTGTTTGTGTTACCCGGGTTTGGGCTCTTATCTGACTGTTTTAGTGTGTGTGTGGTATAACTTAAACCGTTCGATTAAGAACAATTTTTGTCGTGTGTGAGGTGTGTTTGACGTGTGTAAGTGTTTGATGTGTGTCCCGTGTCTTATTCGTGGGTTTGTTCGTCCGTCCTGTATAACTGTAAAAGGTGTGACTAAGGGTTCAAACTTACTCTGTTTTTTGTTTGGGTGTTTTTTGTTCGTCTGAGGTATGTACGGTCTCTTATTCGTGTACTTAATTTTATTTCAGGGATGGCCTAAACTTTTTAGATAACTGTTGTAACTACGTGTGTGACTTGTGTATGTATTTGTTGTGTGTGTGTCACGCAAATTTGTCCTTATTCCGTACTTCTTATCTTCCAGGGTAGATACTTACACCTACCTACTTAACGCACCGCGTGGTGTCCGTGAGGTGTGCACTCGCACGTGTACTGCCTAGTGTATGTTTCGTGTCTTATGTTTGTGTTGTGTGTGCTAACATCGGGGATGTATGGGAAAGTGTAATAACGTGTGTGTTTATACTAAAATACAAATTTTCCCTTTTTTATAAAACTAAAACTTTTCTTATACTTAGTCCTTTATAACTAAAACTTTCTTTTAACTTCACCGCGCTAATACGGTCACACCACCACGGTTTCGCTCTCGCACGCAAGCTAACACTAAAACGACACTTATAGCTAAAACTTAGAATAAATAAACCAATAAAAGAAATAAAACACAACAAACGGAAACACTTTGTCTTTTTTAACCGCTTCTTTCATCCGTTTCTTTCTTGTTCAGCCACCTCATCTTCACCGTCCTCCGTCTCCGGTGACCGGAACTCTTCCGAGTCCGTACTCATTTTCCTACGCTCCGTTTCCTTTGCTGCTTCGTTCTCTATCTCAACCTCCACTGCTATCTCCGGAACCAACACCGGCATCCCCTCGAGGTCAGGTGACACGGTCAAGGTGGAGAACGTCTGGTGAGCCTGTCAAGCTGGGTCAGTTGGTGGTGCTACAGGAAGATAATTTACCATTAATATTAAATATGAGTATCGTTCTCTGGCTCATGAAGTCTATTAAACTTAATAAATAAACAGTCTATGGAGCCGTTTCGCAGGATGTCTTGCGGAAAATATGTCTTATATGTGTGTACACATATAAGTAAATTCACGTTTTTCACGTGTTTTTTCGAATTGAAATTTCAATTCATAAATTCATATAGGATGCTAGTTTTGCATCTCATATATAATAGTCCCCGAATACCCCCCCTAATTGATTTTAAAATATTGCGAAAAAAACTCCTCAGCCAGGAATCGAACCTGGAATCTCCGGCTTTCCGGGCCGTCGCCTTCCCTGTTAGGCCACCGAGGCACTTGGAGTTTGTCTCGCAATATTTCGTACATCTATTA